AGAGAGAGAGAGAGAGAGAGAGAGAGAGAGATTGAGAGAAATACAGAGACAAAGATATCTTCCAGGTAGTACTTATTAAAATATATCCCATGAAGTGATTTCAGTCATTGAAAAGTTTTTATTATATTCTCCTAATACCTTGTGCCTGCAAATCTGGTAGCTGTCACTAATGACAGATAAGATTGGTTGACTTACTCATTCTACACACACATATACACACAAACTTCAACACTTGAGTACAACCTTTTCTAAACAATCACATTGTTAAAATGTGCCATATGCCCCTTTCTCTAAATGATACATAGCATAAGATTATTTTAGGGAGTGAAAGCTAAAAGAAATAAGATGCCTAGTGCAGTGTGTTATTTCTCTACTGGATCAAACTGTAGAGTTGAAAAAAACCACAAGCAATTTGTTTGTTCAGGTTTCAGATGAAGAGCCTGAGGCTGGTAGCTTCAGTGTCCTGTCCCATGTCCCACTGGGTCTGCTAGCCAAGGCTTCAATACAGCTTTCTTTCCTCTCTCTACATTTGGTAGCCATTAGCTATCACAAGTCCCAGCTGAACCAGGCCTTGGTTGCTGACTGCAGTCTGATGCTGTTTTTGCCTGGGCTGCAGGCCCTGGCCACCACGGGGCAGGACCCCTGCAGGAGGTATCTGCAGTTGGTTCCTCCCCCTTCACCCTTCCTCTGCTTGGATTTAAGTACCAGAAAGAGCCCTTCCAGGGAACTTTTGTCGTGCCGTTTTGTCTTCTCAGGGCAAATGAGAAATCCCAGCCCTCAGGTCACTGCTTTGTGTGTCCCCAAAAGACAGAACAGCTCAGCCCTGCCTGCCTGCTTTCTTGATTCACGCTGTAAATGTGATTCCATCCGCCCTACCCAAGGCTTCTCGTGATTTTTCTGTCAACCAGCACAGAGATAGTTTACTTTCAACTGCTGGTTGTCAAGCTCTTCTAAAGACTTTTGTTCCTGCGGAAATGATTTTGCAAATAATTGCTAAAAGTCACTTTTTAACTGCCTCACATAGTTTCATTTCTTTGAAACCTCTCTTTTAAGGGGAACTTTTCTCTCCCCCTTCTGGCTTCTTAAGTCTATTTTAAATTTAAACCAGCAGTCGTTGAATGCAATTTCACAAAATAGTTTACTTGGGTCACCTATGTAATATGAAACCAAGAGCCTAATCATTGCAATTATTCCTATTACATTCAGGTAATAATACAAATAGAGTATTATGTGTGAATGTCAATATGCTTTCTGATCCCTCCATTGGAACATGCGTTGTGTCACGCAGCCTTCTAGTTGCACTGTCCAGGGTTTTTATTATTATAAACTGTCACATTGAACCCATATATTCAACTAATACCTATCAACATTCATTTAGGTTCTTCCAATGGCCTTTCATTTTTACTATCACTCTAAATTAAAAAAAAGAAAAATTTCCTGTGCAAGACATTTTTAAGCAAAATATAATGTATAGCGCTCCAAGTTAAATAATTTTAGGAATGAAATTTTGAGCAATTCATATGGCATGCTTAACTTGTTTTTATAGGGCAAACAGCTCATTCATTCCATTTTATTTATTATTTTTAAACCACATGTTTAGTGCAGTGAATTTTAAAAAACTCAATTGATCTTTGAATTTTTTACCATCTCAGAGAAAGACCATTGGTTACCTTAGTCAAATATCGAAAGTTCCCCTAGAAGTTGAAATCCCTCAGCCCTCTGTAAAGTTCTCTTTGTGTTCCTAGACCAGCAAAGACTTTGCTCTAAAGCCCCTGAACCTGAGTCACGTTGGCCCCATTAATCTTTGTCAAGAAGGAAGTTTGCGGGGAGGACTGAGAAGACGAACTCCTGATCACGTTTTATTCTTTCCTCATTTGTTTCAGGGCCCATGGCCATCAACCCTCCTTGATTTTATCCTGCCTAAGCTTCACACTTCTATACCTAGAAATATGGGGCTGCATGATAATTACAACCTCTTAAGAAAATGGTCTTTTTCATTAAAGGTTCCCTGCAAATCTAAGATGCCGTATGAAAGATGCTGGCAGCACAGAATATTATTAGCATCTGTGATAACTGTAATAAGGCTGAGTCTCGCTTCCTTTAAGAGACATAGGTATTCCAATTTCATCCTGTATGACTCAAAGGGAATTTGGGTGTTAACATTTCAAAATACTTTTAAGGCCTTAGGGGAAAATCTGAAGTGAAAAGTATTAATTTCCAAATCAGTTTCTAAAGCAAAATGCCTGCCTCAGAATAACAAAGTTATTTCTCATCCTGTGGTAGAAATACAATGGTAAGAATTCCTACGCAGACCTGATCTGAAAACACTGAAGAATCTCTACCATTGTAGGTAAAAAGACAAAAAAAAAATTGTCTTCTCAGTTGTGCTTACCTTTCCATTTTTTCTGAGACTCCCTGTATGTGACAAGGACACTGCTACCTGGCAACCTCATCTCTTCACAGCAGAACTGAGAGCCAAGAAACAAAAAAGGCATCTGACTGTCCCAATCAATTTTATGAAATCCACACTGAAGCTCTGATTTTTTAAAAAGATTTTTATTAAAAATATAGCTAACATACAATATTATATTAGTTTCAGGGGCATACCATAGTTATTCAACATTTATATACCTAAAGAAGTGATCAACATGATAAATCCAGCAACCATCTGACACCATACCACGCTGTCACAATATTATTGACTGTAT